TAGAGAGAAAGGATGGGAGAGGAGGAGAGGAGTAGGGGGGATAAGAAGGGCAGCAGAATAGAATCGACAATATGATTGATGTATGTACATTCCATGTATGTATTATATGTCAAAATACATTCTGCTGTCATGTATGACTTAAAAAAATAAAAATAAATTGTATGGTAAAAAAATTTTTTTTTACTTGTAAATGGACATACACCTTTATTTTTTTTAAAGTGGTGCTGAGGATTAAACCCAGTGCCTCAAATATGCTAGCAAGCACTCTACCATTGAGCTATAACCACAGGCCCACCAACCCCATTTAAAAAAAATTTCTTTATAGTTGGACAGAATACCTTTATTTTGTTTATTTTTATGTGGTACTGAAGATCGAACCCAGTGCCTCATGCATGCTAGGCAAGTACTCTGCCACTGAGCTACAGCCCCAGCCCCTCAACCAACCGTCTTTTAAGTAGAATATAGATAATGTGGCTCTGCTGGCACTCATATCAACAATGTCATAATAAGTTCTGAAACAGTTTATGAGGTTTGTTGGACCTTAAGTAGTTTTGCATTAGAGCAGTAGTTCAGAAACCAATTAGAGAAAAGTCTTCAGTTTTAAAACTAGGTCATACTATCCTTATTCAAAGGCAAGCAAAAACTAGACAATTTATATCACTTCCAGGATATATAGTCTTTAAAAAAGGAAAACAGTCAAGTGAAGTGGTACATGCCTATAATCCCAGCTACTCAGGAGGCAGAAGTGGAGGATTGCAAGTTCATGGCCAGCCTTGGCAACTTGTACATCACCAGGAGGAATCAGCCTGATATATCTATCACTAAATTCCTTTGAGTAGAGTCCAAAGAGAACCTGATTAAAAAGTAAAAATTTTACCTGACAACACTGGTACTACAGGGAAGTTAAGGGCACAGAATAACAAAGTTAGAGTTCCAAGTCACACTACCTCTTGGGACCTCAGTTTCCTTATTTATAAAAATGAGGTAGTTTTTAGATATAAGTAATCACTAAGGAAGTAGTTATTCCAACCTGGGGAAACCAATCAACTTCATTAGAATAAGAAAGTAAAATATGATATAAACCACTTATGTAAAACTCAAATCTACTGTGTTGGTAGAAAATAGCAAAAAGAAAATGAAGAAGCACTGGAGTAAGGCATGGACTTAAAAAAATATAGTAAGATACTTCAGATTAGATCACTGTTTAAGATCTTTTKTTAGCTCAAAAGAGTATGTTAAATAAGAAATAAAACTAAATCAGGCATGGTAACACACACCTGTAATCCCAGGAACTCAGGAGGCTGAGGCAAGAGGGCCACAAGTTTGAGGACAGCATCAGCAACTTAGCAAGACCCTGTCTCAAAAAAATAAAAGAGCTGGAGATGTAGCTCAGTGGTAAAGCACCCTTGGGTTCTGTCCCCAAACCAGTTAAATAAATATTTTTAAAATTTTATATATATGTGTGTGTGTGTATAAAAAGTTGGTATACTATGAAATAAACTCTTCAATTTAAAGAAAAAAATCATATTTGTCAAAATAATKAATTTTCAAAAAGTCATCAGGCGTGGTAGTGCATAACTATAATCCCAGAGGCTCAGGAGGGCTGAGGCAGGAGAATTGCAAGTTCAAAGCCAGCCTCAGCAATTTAGTGAGGCCCTAGGCAACTTAGCAAGACTCCATCTCAAAATAAAAAAATAACAAGGACTGGTGATGTGGCTCAGGTCATGTGCCTATGGGTTCAATACCTAGTACCAAAAAAAAAAAAAAAAGTCATCAGAAATATTTAAGATATTTCTCACTATTTTAGAAAAATCATTTGGAGTCTATATGCTGAAATTGAACCTAGGGCCTTTTGCATGCTAAACTCTATCACTAAGCTACACCCCAGCCCTAGAAAAATGATTCAAATAAATGCACAAGCACATAACATTCTGCATGTAAGATACTAGATTTTATTTTTTAACATACTTGATTATAGTTATTGACACAAACCAACTCTGATAAAATTCTAATCCAAAGCACAACTATTTATCTGCTTCTTTTTATTTTACTATTTTGYATTTTTGTATGGTGCTGAAGATTGAACCCAAGGTCTTACATATGCTAGGCAAGCACTCTACCACTGAACTATACCCCATCCCATTATTTTTTTTTAAGAGATAAGTTCTTAATATACTCCCAGGCTGGCTCAGAAATCCTGGGCTCAGACCACCTTCTTGCTTTAGCCTTCCTGATAGCTGGGATATCAGCATGTGCCACCAAGCCCAGATCCTCTGGTTCTAATATTGCTTCAAAACCTTAAAGTTCCATTTTAAGTAAGAAACCAAAATGTGACATACAGTGCATGTAATTCTTCCTGAGACCAATTAAATACTGCTCAATTTTCACTCAAATCATTCTTACAAATCTTTTGACCATTTTTGCCTAGTCAATAGTACCATCAGAGATGAAGAGACAAGAGAGAAACTCAATCCAGTGCATTTGGCTCTTACTAGCATCACTGGTAAATGGTTTGCTGAGAAACAATTGGAAATCCCCATACTACTAGTCAAGATCAGGTTTGGTGATATTTTGTGGATTTAATTTCTTCCCAATCCCCTTTTCAGGAGATAATATAAAATTGATTATATTTAATAGCCAGCCACACGATACCAGCTACTGGGAAGGCTGAGACAGGGAGACTATTTGAGTCCTCGTGTTCAAGACCAGTTTGATTTCATCTTAAACAGCAACAACAAAAAAAAAAAAAAAAAAAGGAAAAGAAACTGTATTCAGATTATCCTCTGAGACTGAACTTGGGTAGAGAGCATGAGAATAAAAAGAGTAATTGTTAAAATCAGTTGGCTCTGCCTACCAAATACAGCCTCCCCTGCCCTACTCCCCCCCAAAAGAAAACATAAATTCTAGAAAGCAGATTCCTCCTTTCCTCTGTTTACCAAACTAATCCTATCTTGCAGTGTCTCTTCATTTTATTAAAATAGTCCAACTTCAGAATGATGGGAAGAAATATACCTTAATATTAAAAACCCCCACTCTCGAAAGATCCCTGTGAAAATTTGGTAAGATCCTCTTCCATTAGAAACTCTCCTTTGGACGACATAGAGGTTTCATGGACTTCCTTGAAATTCCAAGAAAAATCCTTGCTTTAGCCTAGAGAGGGGTGTAATCAATAATCTTATCTCCTCCTTCATGAATGGGACCCACCCTAAACATCTGAAATGTAAAGAGCAACAAAATGAAGAGTACATAACACCTCATTTCTGTCAAATTGTCAGTTCTGTCATCTTTCAGCATGGGTCAAAGGATTTCCATTTCATTTCTCTGACCACTGAAATTGGGCCCAATCTGATCCTAGCTCCATTTCTCTTTCTTTTAAAACTGAGCCTAAAAGCCTACAAACAAATCAATTCATAAGTGAAGGGTAAGTGTCTGAGAGCATATGCCCCCAGTGAACACACACCTTCCCCCTCAGTACCCCTTTCTGACCCAAGATGTCCAGGATACTGCCAACTGCTGTGGCTGTGAACTGGATCAGAAGCAAGAACAGAAATAAGGACACTCTCCATTCAACCTTTTTGTCTGGAGCACTTCCTAGATTTTTTCATTAGCATTTAATATCAAGATACAAGACTCATTTTTCATTAAAATTGCAAGACTTTCACTTTGCTGTTTCAAATAGTGTAATTGATCTGCATTGTCTTCTTAAATAACCCAACTGGTGAAGGACACTGCAGCTTTAAATATTTCAGTGCTAGCTAGCAAATAGACTCCATTGCAATATGGCTCTGAAGGTCGTGTCCTATTGTCTCCTTTGCAAAGGAAAAAAATTCTAAATCCTTCTAGGTAACATGCGAATATTTGTCCGTAGAATTTACACTCTTCCACCTCAGTCTGGATATAGTTCTGGGTTTTATTGGAATCTCACACTCATAATTTTCCCAGCAGGGGAAATATGCCGATTGTTATTAATGATTCCCACACCACAGTGAGACATAAACACATGTGTTCACATTAGTTTAATTGAGCATATGCAACTATCTGAAATAGCACCACTAAAGAGTTGTTAACCTCTTTAAGAGTAAGGCCAGAGCGGTTTGGGTGTGGATGGCTTTCAGGCAGCACCCTGAGCCTAGATTGCATAACCTGAAATGTGTAGCCACTTAAAATGATAGGAATCTCAGCCTACTCATCCTGGGACTATGCCGGCACCTTGCCATACACTTGCAGCTTTGTCAAAGGAGGTCAAATGAGAAGCATAATCACAGTGAAAGAGAAAATAAACTAAAAGAAAAAAGGTTCTTTTCTACTCCAACAGGCACATACACAATTCCCGGAGCAGACACAATGTTCCCTCCACCTCATCTCCCCCAATCCCCGCTCCTGGGCAGTAGAACAGCCCCCGTTAATAGGAGGCTTTGGGGGGAGCTGGACATTGCTGCCCTTTTTAAGTAAAAACGGGTGGGGCGACTAAAAGGCAGAGAAGGAGGAAGATGAAAGGTAGGGGTAAAACGGGTGCAGGTGCACCCGAGCATTACCTGAAATGGTAACAGATTGTTACCATTATCGGTCCGGAAAGCGTTATCTTCCATCCAGGACTTGGAGGTGAGCGGAGCCGCACGAGGGAACTTGGGAGGCGCGATCACATTGCTGGAGAAGGGTTTTTTGAGCGGCGAGATGGGGTTTAGTGGGGAGGGTACCCCTACGCCCACGCCCACGCCCACGCCAACCGCTCGGCGAGGGTCCCGGCCTGCCTGCAGACCACCCCACGGGTTGGACGGTGCGCTCCAGGCGGCGTTAACGCTTTGGTGCGTGTTCCAGCTGGATGAGGCCGACGAGGCCGCTGCGGCCGCAGCGGCGGCCGCAGCGGCAGAAGACGAAGACGGCTTGCTGGTCATGATGGGCTGGTGGCCGTAAGCCGCGGCAGCGCTTCTCTGCGCGTAGGGCGCCTGGCTAGGGCTGGCGGGCGACCGGCGCTGCTGCGGGGGCTGCGCCTGGGGTGGCTGCGCCGGCTGCGCTGGCTGCGGTGCTGGCGGCGGCGGCTGCTGGTGGTGCTGGGTCTGCGCCAGGCCGATCTGCGGGGAGAAAGTGCCTCCGAAGACTGGGTTGACATGGTGCGGGAAGTTCTGGAAGAGCATGGTCCCGTTGACTGGGGTGATCCCCTGGAAGAAGCTGTCCTCCACCGCGTTCGTGGTGCCGGTGGACCAGGTGCTGCCGAACGACGGCGACAGCGACGCGCCCGGCGCGGTGGGCTCCTGCGGCGGCGGCGGCGGCTGCTGTGGGGGCTGATGGAAACTCAAGCCCGGCAGGAGCGGCGATTCCATCTGCATCTTGTCCGGGCCGTTGGGGGCCGGCGGGGCCGCGGCGGGGCTAAGGGCCGGCACTGCGCTACTGTCCTCCGGTTTGGGGGTCTCTGAGGAGAGGGGCGTGGACGGGGCTTCGGYTACGCTGGGCTCGGGCTGGGGCTGCTGCTGCTGCTGCCGCTGCTGCTGGGGCTGGGGCTGGGTTTTGCTTTTGTCCATCAGTAAATCATCCTGCATGGTTTGCGCAGCTGAAACGGGAAAAAAAGATGCGTTATTGTCAAAGTGATCCTTAATGCCCCTCGCTAAAGCGGGCGGTGTTTTACTTGAGAAAATCCAGTGCCACCGCTATTAGCCAATTGCAAGCAAATCCATAATCTCCCATTTAACAGGTCGGGCTGGGGAGAGGGAACACAAGCAAGGTCTCTAAAAACACTGTGAGAGCGTCTTCACCCTTTCTGATGTCTTGGTTCCTTTTCTGTATTAGTGAGAGATGTGCTTATAAGACAGAAAGACAGCAATTTCGCCACGTCTCTTTTCCCTTTACCGGAACTCAGAGCGTTCACCCTGCAATGAGAAACTGATTCTGGTTCCTGTTTTTTCCCAAGCACCACCCTCCCCCAGTTATTTGCATACGTCAATAAATACTGCTGCGTCCTTCAGCAAGGTTAAAAAGACACCACACACACGACCCTTTCTTCCCCCTTCCTCAGCTCGAGCACTTTAAAGAAAACGGCCGTCTTAAACCTCTTGATTAACAAACTGCTTTCTTGCCTCGATAATTGTTTCATTTAGCTACAGCGAACCAGCACGAGGGAGGAAATCCTTGGCATTTGTTAGAAGGACTCAGCTGCACAATCATTCTCTGGCCTCGCAGTAGCGGCAGCTACTCCATTTTGTTGGGAGACATTTTATAAAAATAATATATATACACACATATATATTATATCACCGCTTTTAAAAAGGTGAAACCTACTGAAACGTTTGGAAGTGCTTGCTTCTTGTTACTCTAAGGATTATGGTTTTTCTGCTTAATCTCCAATTTTCTTGTTTCCAATTCTGCCGCACAAGAGGATTTCCTGGCTTCTCAGTGCTTCAGGTCTCAACAGGAGCCTGAGAATTTCTCTGCAGAGTGGAGAAATGCTTCTAGTTGGATTTGAGGTCAGAGAGAGAGGGAGAGAGCATGGGGAGGCGCGGGGGGCGGGGGGGGGAGGGCGACTGTGAGATGGACTGGGGGCGGGGCTTTAAAAATCCGTCTGAGATTTAAGTAGACAGTCAAGATAATTCTGGGTTGCTAGATTTCATTTTTGAATCCTCCTGCTGCCTCCTTGGTCACAAGATTGGCAAATTTAGAATCTATTCTCTTATCTCTAGTATTAGCAGTGGAAGACTATGGTTTGATGACCCTGAATTACCATATGCTAGCAAAAGTGTTAAAAATAGAGGAGTACAAAGTCCCAAATTCTCATACATTGTAATTATAGTGCATTGCCACCACTGCTTCATTTAGCCATATAAGGAGTGTATGGTATTTTCCATTTCGAATAGAATTATATTCACCTCTGTCATACAGCCTGTTTTCTTATTCAAGGATGAAAATAGTAATTGCTCAAAATCAAGAGATTTCCATACATGTAGTTACCATTGAGTTAGCTTGTTCCTTGAATGTTAATTACTTTAAATATACAAATATTACAGGGATGAGACTGTGCAAACAAATATTTTGAAATGTTAAAGGAGCATATGACCAAACATATCATTATTTTTAGATGATGATTCAGTACAATTGCAACAAAGTTATTAATATATTTAATATAGTTACTTAATTAACATGTACTGGAGAACATCTTTCTTAGGACATTTGTAAAAGGGCATTTTGATACACATAGAAGCTGCCTTTGGATATCCTAATGACTAATAACCACTATAAAATGGAGATATTATTACTCAACTATTAAGTAAAAGATGTCCAACTGAGAAATTACATTAAAAGTAGCTCCACTATTTTATTAAAGACATCAAAAATGCTTAATTGGTATTTCATGTCAAAGTTTCATACACAAAAAAGTGGGCAAAAGCAAATGCTTCACAGCCACCTGATTCTTCTTTCTACTTCTAAATCCCTGCTTCTCCCCTTCCCCTAAAAAGAATCCCAATCAATATACCATACATCACATTTTGCCAGATAATACCAAAAAAACCTACTTAAAATTGCTTTTATGTTCCTCACTTCTCTTGGTCTAAAATAATGGTTTTGATCAGTGTTGTAAAATACAACACAAAGAGGCAAGTGAACCTTAGATTCAGACAGCACAAAGTTCTATCACTGCCAAAGAAGATGGTCATAGAAGGAGACATTTTCATACTTGGTTTAAACAATGCTGCAGTAAATCATTATAATTCTGGTTTTTGAGCTGCTTCCAGTGAGCTAGAACTGCCTTTATTATAGCCATATCATCATATGGCTGAAATACACATTGATTATAGTTTCAATATCATCCAGCTTTTCTGGATCCAATGCTTTTTGTTAATACCTTCAGTTTAAACTACATGCTATCGATGAAAAAATTAATGCTGTATTATAGCAAAAAAAAAAGGCAAAGAAGTAAACTGGAATAAAAATATTTCATAATGGCTGTAATTAATATTAATATACTCATTGAATTTTTGAAATGTTATACCAGGAACACATTTCTCAACACTCCTTAAAGATAAAAATTTCACTTTCTGCATAAATTCACTCTGTCAAGGTCAAGACCCACCTTTAATAAATAAGACCCTTTAAACAAAAGGTAGATTAAGATGAAATTTACAAAGTTAACATGCAATGTCTCTCAATAACTGCCTGTATAGTTTGTTTGATTTGGAGTTTATTTTGCTTATTTACAGCAAAGTCTGAGAAATAGATACCTCCTTCCCCTCCCCCACCACACACACAATAGATCGGCTTTTACATGCATTAACCCAATTTCAAGTAACAAATTTGTAGTAGCAGTTACCTTTGAGTGTCCAGTTTTTAAGGATCGATAAAATTTTAAAGTATACGGTATTTATTTTCTTCTTTCAGGTTGATTATGTGACCGCTCTGGCAAAAGCACTTTGACAACTGTAAGAAGAGAGGGCATGCGCACACAGGGAACTGTGGGGGCTGAAGTCCTTCACAAGGTACTCTGCCTGACTTCAGCACGTTCAGCCAGGAAAGGAAGAAGCCTCTAAAATACAGATTGCAAGGGAAAGAGGTTGTTCCCGGATTACATATATCCTCCTAGCCAATCTAAATCATGAGTTGTTGAAATGAAGAGGAAGAAAAATAAACTGGTTTATCAACTTGATTTAGGAATCGAGGTTAAAAGAGAAACTGGATTGTAGGATTCAAAATAAATATACCCAGCAGAGCTACCTTAAATGGTATTAGAATATTAATGACTGGGTAGCCAGCAATAGGCACCCTACCAGAGTAAAAGAGATTGGGGTGAGGAGGAATAAACAAGGGTGTGGGGGATGGGGAATGGTGAATACTTAAAATCTAATCATATTTAAAGGAAACATTTTTAATATAGAATGAAAAGCATCTTAATACAAAATGTGATATTAACCTCAGAGGTCAGGTAAAAATAGRTTTTAATAACAAATTTTTGACATCCACCAAAATTTCTTTTGAATTTTCAAGGCAGGCACCACTTATTTTAAGATTTTACATAATGTGCTCTAAATCAACTCAACTCCTTATTTTTACTTGTCAAAATGAAAGCTTACCTTGCATTATTCATACAATGATTAATCAAATAAAATTCAACACTTTCATACTAAARTAATATTTGTTGAAATATTAATAACTTGGCATGATTAGTATTTCACTTCATAGGATAGTGACTTCTTTATTCAGTACAAAAAGTAGGTAGTTTCTGTTAAAAATTTTTGGTATTTTTTTGTATTTTAACCTCATGATTCTAAGGCTGAAATCTCACAATATATTAACATCAATTGTTATAATCTATAGCTTATAAGAGCAATAGTTCAACAGCTGATTTGCTCATATAGGCAGAAGATAATATTTCTTGTGGAATCTGGTTTAGTGCCATTCACCCAAGGGGTGCAGAGTAAATGTCAGCTGATGACTATGCTGATTGAACATGGAGCTGAAAATGTTAAACATCATTTTAACTGTCTTAATTTTTTATTTTCCTTCTTCACTAGTTAGAACTCAAGTATTACCACAGACCACTAATTTGCCCCATTTAGTAGTCTTTGCCTCTAATATTTTTCTTTCCTGTTTGTTTGTTTTGGTACTGGGAACTGAACCCAGGGGTGCTTTACCACTGAGCTACAGCCTAAGACCTTTTTTTAAAAAAAAAAAAAAATTCCAGTTTTTTTTTTTGCTTCCCACCTATGTGACCTTCGGAAAATCACCTAATCACCTCCTGAGCGATACATGCCTTGGTTTCTTCATCTGTAAAATGGGGCAAAATATTACTTTCAAGCATTGTTTGAAGAAATTAAATGAGATAAAGGCCTTCGAACATAACTGTTTCATTCTTGCCCTAAACCCTGCCACTGGTCCCAGCAGCTTCCTGCACCTGGGTCACCTTGGCACCTGTATTCAGGGTCTTGGTGTGTTGATCCCCCCAATCATTTATTTATTTATTTATTTATTTATTTATTTATTTATTATTTTGAGACAGGGTTTCACTAAGGCACTTAGGGAT